GAGTTTTTGTCAACTAGAGTAGCATAGCGCCTTTTATTGATACCGCCTGTTTTGTGTGCATAATTATTGCGTGTTGTAATAATGAGTTTATGTCTTATGCTCTTATTGTCGCCGGTCAAGTGAAGATTTCACTACAAACGCATAGCATTTGGTAAAACTTCACAAACAATGTAACAGCTCAATAGGAATCAGGTTATAAATTCTCATTCATACTGTTCCTTGACGATATAGATGCGTCTAGCGTGGCCAAGAAAACTGCTGAGTATGATGCTACATGAACTCTACTTATGAGTTGTTATTTAACAACCTACAGCTAAGAAACGAACTGGAATACTTCAAATGCAAGCAAAGTTGAGACTGTGTTTTGAGAGAATGCGCTCAACTTTACCCACACTAAAAAGGATTTGTCAGTTCGGCCCCCTCCAGACTTCGCTCAAAAGCGCCCAAATTTTAATCTCTCGAGAGGGACTGAAGAGGGGTAGGGGAACGAAGGCCGCTAGTTTCAGCTGCCCTTCGCGGCCAACTGGTGTTTTTGCAATGTTGTTGCATGTCTTTCCAGGACCAGTAGTCCGCGGGGCGGCCCAAACTGGCGGCCTTCGTTCCCCTAAACACTGAAGAGAGCCTAGGATTCATATTAATCCGTTAGTTCCGGAACAGCCTCAGCACACCGCTCGAACTGCACAGCTATGCTGTAACTACTCCCGAATACGGCATTATGAATCCAGCCTTGAACTGCCGAGGCCTATATGTTAACCGCCCATATCCTGCCTTTGCATTACCTCAGCAATTGAGTAGCTAGTCTTGGCAATCACCATTACAAGACAGACAGCTGAGTGCCCCAATGAAAAACTGATGTTCAATAAACAAAAGTTGAACTCACAAAACCGCAGCTACACCGAGTCGAACGCCACCTACTACAATTTTGAAGGCGAGAATGGTCTCGACAGAGGCTCTAAAGGCAGGGTAGTTGTATCTTCTTAACAGATACAACTACCACTTTTTGTGATGGGATAACAGACTCAAAGAATGGACAATTCGAAGTTATTCCAACGCTCTGATCTAACATAAAAACTTACATTTCCTTTATTTCAGATAAATAGTTAGTGCTGTATAAAATACACAATTTGACGAAATCAAGAATTAGATAAGAAGTTTTGATGCAATGCATCTCAGAATTGTCCTGGCTTGTAAATACACAAATATGAGGGATGTAGAGACTGTAGACATAAAACAACATCAGGTTGCAAAAGGAAAAAAAAATCAAGCCGTAGCCGTAGTACTACAATAAACAGATCAACAAATGGTACAAAACAGCCAATCTATCAGCGGCGCATCCTTTTCTCTGGTGGGTAGTCTCCGGGTCCTCCAACGTAACCCATAGGACCAGGTCCACCTCCGAATGAATTGGGGCCTCCAGATGCAGGGCCTAGATGGGTGTACATCAAAAACGATAACAATAAAATCTGCCACAAGTCACTCACGTTGCTGCCCAGGTTCATTTTTGAAAATTTGCAGAAGACGCTGGACTCCTTCAAGCATATTATTTGTAGCTGGCCTTTGCCCTCCTTGCGCTAAAGAAAAGCACTCAACATATTGAAATGAGCAACTTCAAAGGTGATATACCTCCAGGTCCATTCTGAGAGCCAGGACCACCAGGAGCGCCTGCACCGATGGGACCTCCTGGACCTCCTGGTCCACCATGAGACTGCATCTGACCAGGCGGTCCTTGCTGATATGGCTGTGGTTGATACTGACCTCCGACAGGTGGACCACCCATTGGAGGTCCTCCCATAGGACCTCCCATAGGTCCTCCTGACATCGGTTGACCAAATGGTCCTAAATGAGATCAACTTTGACATAGCCTATCTACACAAAAACCCTTGACTTACCCGGTTGACCAAACTGCATTGGTGCACCCATACCCATATTTGGACCACCAGGTGGTCCTCCTGGCCCACCAGCAGCAGCCCTCATATTCATCCGCTCACGACGAGCGGCCTCCAGCCGCTCAAGCTCCTGCTGCCGACGCTGTAGATCTAAAAATACAAGGGATAATAGTGTAAACAATGAGACGGTGACGCAGCAGCTGCTGGTGCAACTACTAACTACCAAAGACAGCACATGACATTGCATTTCGAATGGAAGAGATAGTGAGAAAGATGAGCACAGCGTGCTTCAGTCTCACAGATCGCGCGCACTGGTCTCCTAGCTTTTGTGCGGAAAGAGATAGGAACACCAAGTAACAGAAAACCAAGGCAAGTACCATTCAAGTACACAAGAAGAATATGAGAGAACCTCACTGTCCAATTCGCTATCTCAAGAGCGCAGCACTTTCTCTGATCGGGCATAAAAAATGGATCTCGTCGTTTGAATTTTCGGTTTGCAAAAATCAGCTTTGGTCAGTTTGGATCACATCTGGCGTAGCTATAGTATAGTATTGAGCTCCTATGGCAAGACACTTCCCTTACGTGAAAAAGGGATAGACTCAGTTAGAGAAGACAACTTGGCTGCTAGAAAATGACTTGCCATTCCATTCCATATGTGCATTCAATTCAAATTGAAACTTTTCTGAGGTAAGTTCACAAAAAGAGTGGACGAAAAGGAGCCTCAAACAATTTTTTAGCTGGTTAGACGGTACTGCTTGTGTTGGACCGTATGTAATGATAGTCCGCTGTAAGACTCATGAGTACGACAATTCTGGCGCATGTGGCTTTGCGATCTACATCGAAAATCTTCCCCTTAGCAATGAGACTTGAATGCATTGCGTGAGTACATGAAAAAAATTGTTCAAATCTAGAAACAATGAAAAAAAGTGACTGACCCTCACGAAGCATTTGCGCTTGATAGTCCTGATACGCTAACTCCATGTCAGATTCGAGGCGACGACGTGCATCCTTCAACTCCTCTTCCAGCTGAGCTCTACGCTGTTTCTCCATCGCGTATAACTCCTTCCACTTCATACCGTATACAAATTCGAAAGTGTTTTGAGATGGAAAACGAGGGCCAAGCTCACGCTCCCTATATCAGTCCATTATATGTCCACTCTACCTAACACCTGCACATCTCAACACACGAGAACTCAAGAAGTCCACTATGATGTTCGAGTATAATGTGCAGGTGCGAATCCGTTACAGATATATACAGATAAATCCCCAACAGAACTTGTGTTTTGGAAAAAAGAAAAGATGTCAGCAATTCATCGCTACATCGTCATACATCGTTCAACTAACACTCGATACCAAAGGGATTCTTTTAAACATTCTTTTTCAACATACTCCAAAAATTTGGTTTTCCATGAGCTGGGCTTTGGACATTCATAAGCAAGCAGACCCTCTCGAGCAAATCCATACAACACATGGAGAGGAAGAACGCCGCCATAGAGCACTGCACTCCAGCCACAAACAGTAGCTCATAATCAGAGTTCTTTTGAAACCGTGAAAAATTTCCGCCCACCATTATGGTACAGACACTGAACGGGTAAACAGCACTTTTCCGCGATTACTCCGAGTCAGCTGAGTATAAAGTAGCCAATCAGGCAAGATGAGGCAGAGCAAAAGAGCTGTTGTATTCCTAACTCAGAGTGCAAAAACATTCATTGGATATACTTCTATTTCTGTCAAATTATTAACGATGATCATCCGGTAAGCTAATGATCTGGGTTTAAGACCACTGGGTTTAATCGTCCACACATGCACAGATGAGCACTGAAAGCAGCATCTGCCTACGATTTCAATCAAATATTCATAACGCCAGCAACACTTTACAGATCCAGTCAATTTCACCTCCAACTAATTAGCCAAATCACCGTAGCCCCTACTTTCACCAACTCTTACCCTTGTGTTCTCGTTCTTTTCAGAATTTTATACCATAAACGTGACTAGTAGATAGTCAGTAGAGATTTGTTTCGCTTTTACCTTCGAAAAAGAAGTCTTGAGCTCTTTACATTGGATAGTTGAAGTCTTCCCGGTATTAGATAACAATTGTTCGTTCGCAACAAAATCAGTAGGGTGTATTGGAAGGTATAGGTACAAGGAATA